CTACAAAATCACAAAAAAGTATAAATAAGTATTTATATTTGTGTAGCCTTTGTTTTTAGGGTTATTGACAAAGTTTGTGTACTCAGACCAGTAATATTTGGGGTCACAAGTTTTTGCCATGAATATTTTGTGGGTCAGAAGATAAAAAGTTTGGGAACCACTGATCTAGACCTTCCCTTAGAGATAGGGTGAGAAGTTCAATTATCTGGGTGAGACTCAGAGTAGARCYGCTGCTCCTCCACATTCAGAGGAGCCAGCTGAGGTAGTTCGGTCATCTGGCAAGGATGACTCCTGAACTTCAACTTATTACACTTGAATAGGAGGGGAATTACTCATCATGATCCTTACCATATTACACTTCAGGAAAGTCTTGTTAGACTCTCATTTTTGTTCCCTTTTTATGGCCTTACACGTCTCACACCACTCTCTCTCTTCACAGGTAACAAGTTCTCCTACTACCATGCCGGCCTGCTGGTTGCTGTCATCTGGTGCTACGCTTTAGTGTTTGCTGTAGGTCCGCTGTCGGGCTGGGGAGAGTATGGGGCCGAGCCTTACGGGACAGCGTGCTGCATCAACTGGCATGCTCTGAGCCAAAATTCTGCATCTATGAGCTACATCATCTGCCTCTTCTTCTTCTGTTACATCATACCCTGTACCGTCATCTTTCTGTCCTACACGTTCATCTTGCTGACTGTGCGGGGCTCCCGTCAGGCTGTGCAGCAGCATATGTCGCCTCAGAACAAGATCACCAATGCACATGCACTTATTGTTAAGGTAGGCGCTTTGAGCTTACACTGCCAGACTATTTATACAATGAGTGAATTAGACCACAAATTAATGTTTGTTTACCATTTTGGTTTTTTTGTTTTTGTTTGTTTTTTTGAGTGTTGTCCTGTTGCTTTTCAGCTTTCAGTGGCAGTTTGCATCGGCTTCCTGACAGCATGGAGTCCATACGCGATAGTCTCCATGTGGGCAACGTTTGGTAACCCAGCAAAAGTGCCACCCATGGCTTTTGCACTGGCAGCTATCTTTGCTAAATCCTCCACTCTATACAACCCTATTGTCTATTTAGCCTTCAAGCCCAATTTCCGCAAGTCACTGTGCCGAGATATAGCCCACTGTAGGAGAATGTGCTGTGGATGTTTGTGCCAACACAGTTCTGCCCAGAAGGGATTGTGCAAGCAATCTCATCATGCTGAAGAGTGCAACTCTACAAGGTTGTCCAATGGGCTACCAGAGAACCACGAGACCTGCAAACACTGTTCTTACACTGAAATGGCCACTGGTGCCAGAGAAAAYTTTACAGATTACAGCCCCCAGCAGACAGCCAGGATACTGAAAGGATCTGGGCACACTGAAGTGGCTGTCAGTCAACTCTCCAGTGAGTTACAGAGTGACTTTCTTTAGAGGAAAAAAATGAAAACACTCTGCAGAAAACAAGTTATGAATGGGGAAAATTGTAACAAGAATGAAAATTATAAAGAACTTGCTGCAAGGATGGTAAAAACAAAAGGATAAAGACTTGCAGACTAAGAATACATGGAGATTGCGATTCTTTAAATTGTCTCATGCCTCAAATATGTAATACTGCCAAAATAAAGCAAAGAAATACAAAGAAAATATGACCACATAGTTAAATGGAGTAGCAATACATAATACAGCACAGTAGCCTACTTACAAAGTACATTCATGTTACTTACAGGGGAACGTACAATGTTTTTACATAGCCATGTAACTAACTACCCTGTAATTATCCAGTATGAACCCAATAACTACCCTGTATTGTGCAAGTACCTCAATAAATACCAGGTATGTACCCCATAGGTACCATACTGTAATATGCTTTGCTACTTTAAATGCCAACACAAGAGATTAAGGAAGCTAAGCAGTCCACAGTGTAGAAATAAATGTTTGTCAGGTCACATTAAACTTCAGTAACTCTTGTTTCACCCTGAACAACTAACACAAAGCAAATACAACTGAGACTTAATGCAAATCAGTTAACGCTGGATTCAGAGGAAAGAAAATCAAGACTGAAACTTTCTACTTGGTAATCCACCTTTTTTCTGTTTTTTACAAGTTCTGTACTTTTGATGTATTTGAAYTGATTTATGCATGCATCAATTTGAAGGACAACAGGGTTGCTGTTTTTTTAAACAGGAAAAAGTGTTTTGCCCTTAATGCTAAGAGTAACACAAAATGTTTTTGAGGGTAACTTACCAAAAGCGTGTTGAACTCTGTATTTATTTATTAACTCTGAGCTGAATGATGTTTTATCTGAATTAAAATGAAGACACTGCTCAGAGGGCTGCACTGAGCTGTTTGCAGAGAAGAGATGCGAATGTTAGTGTTGGTTTTAACTAGACCCTTGAAACTCTTTCGATGGTTGAATTTATTCTTTTTTAAATTATTTTACCAGGTAAATGCAACAGTTGCAAGGGAGGAAGGCAAGCTAAGCTGCATGTTTTTGACCTGTGGGGCAAAACCCACAAAAACATGAGTCGAACATGCAAACTCCAAACAGAAAGACCGGGAATCTGAGCCCACAACCTTCTTCCTGCAGGCATTTCTAACCACTAACTGACAAGTTGTGTATTGTCTGCATAACATGGACCTGGTGTTCTGCATTAATATTTGGCATAAAAAAATCAGGCATATCAAATCTAATCCTAGAGGTTGTTTATTTTTTTCTCCTCCTTATACTTTGAACTGTTTTCACACAATGTCAATCCAGTCTTATTTTTAACCCCATGACAATTTTCCCATACCCAGATCTGGTGTTGTTATTGTTATTCATAAATTTTGAAAGTAATCAGAAAACAAATTATGACAAAAGGAAAAATGCGACTGAACAGCTGTATTCTTGTCAAGTCAAACAGCATTATTATTATTATTATTATTATTATTCTTTGAGCGCTCTTATAAACTCGGCCCAGACTAGTGAAGATCAAATGTGATTCCTTTAACGCTGAGCTTTGAAATGAAATAAACAAAGCCTCAGGCTGTCTGTAGGTTGAGGTTATTGTGGATGACATGTAGTTGTATGTGAAAACTTCACCGACGTAAAAAGAAGCATTTGCAGAGACGAACAGGCCTTTTTTTAGGAGGCGTTTGTAACAATGGTGTCACCTTTTTCTTTTAGTCTCCTGTATATTTTAGACAATTTAAACTTTAATGGTGAAAAAGGCTGCAGCTCATTGCTTTTTTCTTATATAACATCCAAGATTAAACGAAAAGAATTAACAAGTATAGAAGCTATGAAAGTTTTGGTATGATAATTATTTTACAGAATGAGTCAAAAGTCGCAGGGCACCCTTTTATTTCAGAAAAAAAAAAAATCAATGACATATCTGAATACCCCAGCAAGTAATGGTTCAGGGGGCCTATCTTTGGAAAAAAAATTGTCATTGATCCAATATGGCGGCTTTCAAGATGGCGGCCGTATTCTGGACACTGCCTAAAAGGTAGGCCCCCGCACCTGTTACTTGCTGAGACATTCAGATATGTAATTTGCTTATTTCTTTCTAAAAATCAAAGGGTGTCCAGTGACTTTTGACTCACCCTGTAGAAAGAAAACAAAATAGTTATGATCTCCCCTTTGACATCTTTTAAGCCTAATAAAAATTTCATGCTGATTGGATTTTTTTTAAATGATTGTAAAAACCTAAGGATGAGCGAAATGCAAGATGATCTTTATGATTGCCACGCAGCAACCAAAGGCTACAGTCATRTTAAGGCTCACTTTCAAAGCCAAAATGCTGTATTGGACACTCATATTTTCTACCAATATGCAGATTAACTATGAGAAGATTAAACATATCAGAGACTTGGCTTTGAGCCTTGTGCAGGAGACACTTTGTTTGGTCCAACTTTGGCCAAAGATGGATATTGAAACTACAAAATGACCCAACTGTGAACTTCAGCCTCTGATGTCACATTTTTTCTAYGCTGTTGTATTCAAAAATGAAATCTAACCAGGACCTATAGGTTTTTTATTCTGTATTATGAGCCTTTCCCACCTGGGTGTATTTATTCATTTAATATTATATTGTACATACTGTACATATTTGCATGAGTGTAGATATGTTTGTAAAGATTATGAAAAGTAATTCACATGTAATTTATATCAGCCAGAATGTGTGCATAGGATAGAAAAATCTATTGCAGTGTCTTGAAATGGGGATGAAGAGTGTTTGCTTTTAGCTTCAGATCAATCACGTTCAAAAAGTTTATGCGAATGTTTCTTTTATCATGTTTAGAATAATTAAGCTGCTTCTGTACTGCCTTAAACCAGTTAGGTGGCATGAGCTGGATTTCCCTACCCATGCATAGGCTTCCAATAAAACTAGAACAGAGAGGGCTGCTTTTGGAGTTGTGTCATAACCAGGAGGAACAGACTGATCATGAGCAGCTGAGAGTGATTCAGGGGACATTAATGGAACAATGAGTCTATATGCCTCCCCACTGTGGAGGCAACACCAACATCACATGCCTGATTACTGGCTRTGCCATGTTGAGCTTTCCCCCAGGGCCAGCCAAGTCCTCCAATCTTTCCTCAATYTAACGTGTAGAAACTCCTCATATGCCAGCTTCAACTCAGCGCTAATTTGCCAGATTTAGGGAAAAGTAACAAAAGATGGAGACCCATTTTCATCAGTATGACTCTGCTGTATAAAACCTTTACTTATATCTATGCTAAGGGAGTACCAACATGGGACCAGCAGTATGTTCATATGGCCTTTTTCCATTGCAAGGTCCAGCACAGGCTGGCATGTTTTTAAACCCGTGTTCAKCGTGTTTACATTAGCACTTGAATTATATGATCTTAATTCCACCCCAATTTCTGGTACCCTGTGAGCTATGGTTCATTTTGGGTTGGATTTCCTGGCCCAGTTTGATGGCAGCTACAGTTGCCCATTGATTGCTGCGGCTGTGGCAGAGTGGTTAGTGGAGTTGTCCTGTAGCCGGTAGGTTGTCAGTTCGGTCCCTCGTTTCATCCAGCTCATCCTTGGGCAAGACACTTCACCTGCCTTGCCTACTGGTGGTGGTCAGCGTGCATGGCAGCCTCGCCTCTGTCAGTCTTCCCCAAGRCTGCTGTGGCTACACTGTAGCTTACCACCATCAGTGTGTGTATGAATGGGTGAACGACAGTAGTGTGAAGCACTTTGGAATCCGTATGGACTTGATAAAGCACTACACAAGTTCAGGCACTTCCCATTTCCCATTGGTTCTCTGGCTGTGAGTGTTACATTACACAGATGAGTTTAAATTTACTTGAATTGTTTGCAGCGACTGTGACGTTTTTTTTTTGTCATTTTTTTGGTAACTTGCAACAGCTCTAGTAAGTTACCAAACAACAACAAGCTAACATTAGCTACCATTAGCTTACGGTCTACAGTTGTTGCTTTTTTTTCGAGTTTGATGTAGTCTATTATTGTTGTGTCACAAACAAAAAAACAAATATTTGTGCATGTTTAATATAATGATCCTTGCCCACATCGAGGTGGYACACTGCTCAAAGCAAATACAACCAGGGTCGGGGTAGAATAAGGTCAGGTTGACTGGGGCCGGGTCTTACAATGCAAATAAGCCATTATTCTCAGCTTCATATGAATAACAATAAAGTTGGCTTTAGAGTGTATTGACCTTTCAACACACTGAGTTCCATTTCATTTCCACCTTCATTTCCAGTTTCTTTTATTTGTTTAATAAATTAGTCAAATTAAATCAGAAAAAATTAAGCATTCATTGTTAAGACCTTCAAGTAGGGAAAAAAAAAATGCCCATTCAAGTGTAGTTCCGCCCTCTCAGCTACAAGCTTAATTACAGAGAAACTGAAGTGCTGATGTGGCGGAAGTATTTATGAAACACCTCGAGCTGCATGCAGTTATCATTGTCTCCCTCATTATAAAATATGCTGTTTTCATCAGTACATGAAAGGCATCTCATCAATGATTTCATTCAACATATTTCTCTCTACACTGAGTTTTATTTATGTGGGAGATTAGGTCTCAAAACAGAAAGTTTTTTGTTAGTTCTGACCTGAATGTGAGACTTTGAGTCAGCAACATTTACATTAGTTTAGTTTCAAGACTGGGACGTTCTGAGCTTAATATATTATGTCACAACTTCTTTATGTATTGCTGGCTAATTTAATTGTAAATAAATAAAATCAGTCAACATGCAACAGGAATTTTTAACTTGTGACAAAAATAAATTACAAAATGACAAACTCTTTGCAAAGCAGATTTTAGGAAAGCTTTTTCTTTGGAATGCACTTTATTCTGCTGGCAGACCCTCTCATCCCTGATTTCTAAGACACAATCAAGGCTGAATGTGGTGTGTTGTACATATATGTTCATTTATACATGAAAAAATGTTTTATCTATACAGGCTGAAAAAATGATGCTGCAATTATTAAATTATTTTGATTGTTGTCAGTGAAGATTGAGATGCACTGTTCAAATGTTTACTGCATTTTTTTGCTTGTTTTAAAAGATGAAAGATTGTATAAAAAGTTGAATACATCTATTGAGAAAAAAGTTTATAAAATAAATATAATGCAGGTCTCAGTTGATAAGTATGTTTTTTTTTAATTTGTGCTAAATAAATGCATTCTAAACTTTACAGTTAAACAGTTAAAAAAGTTAGAGAATATTAATATATTCTATTCATTATTTTGTTTTACATATTTGGAATTTATCATCTAGAATTACTATAAGTGTACATGACTGGACTTAATAAATAGTTTTTTATAGCCCACAACATCATTTGAAACATTATTTGTGTCATGATATATAATAGACATCTATTACTCTGAGCAAACTTGTCAATTCTTTTACTCCAAACGTCCTTTCTGGGCTTGAATTACAAACAGTGACCATCATCCTACAGCTGCTGCAAACAGATTTTAGGAGTGAAAATGCAWTTCCCAGGTTACTGGAGTGCACAAACCCTTTTTGGGAATTCTTCTTCAAAACTGGAGTATTTTAACCTTGATTTTATTATGGGTATTGTTTCATTAGCAGCCTTTAATTTTCTTTAGTCATCTCCTCAGTTGTTGCAGCATTTATCTTTCTGCATAATATTTAAGTCTTGTTTTAAAGACAATTATTTAACTAAAGTCACTCTTACCACCCATCCCACATTTAATAAAAGTAACTTACTTAATCAATGTATGCTGTAATTATAACTCACCTGACTGTATAGAAAGTGTATTTTGTTGTACCACTCCATTTGGAGATGTTCACATTCTGAATGAAAACAGTATGAAGAAGCAAACTTTTCAGAAAAGCTGGTTTTGATTTATACAAGGTCCCTGTGCTTCTAAAGGCCTTGGACAGCTGTTGGTGCTAAAATGAATAAAAAAAAAAAACAATAATCAGGTTTTGTTTTGTGCTCACAGACATCCTGTTTGACTAAGAATTTGATGAACGAGAGGTTTCCTTTCATTTGGTGTGAGATTAGTTTGGACAAGGTGACAATATGAAATTGAAAGTCTGAAATCAGGATTTTCACACCAACGTTTGTGAGCTGATGAGCTTCCAGCTTGACAGCGCTTTTTTTCCCTCTCCCTGTGAGTTTTACATAGCCTAATGAGTTTTCCTGAGCTTCATAGCTCCTTACTGCTGTCAAGAACCTGAAGTATTAGTAAACATTATGAGAGAAGCACCTCAGGTGATTTAAAAAAAAAAAAGAGAATAAAACTCATAGCCTCTTCTAAAAAAAATCAGCTTTTCTGTAGATGTATCTGTTTTGGTTTTAAATTGGTTCATAAAATAAGGAAACATTCCAGCCATGATTTTAGACAAGAGATGTTTTTACTTTGAGACAAAATGTGTTCGATATTTGTGGAGAAATGCTCAAACCTTTGATCCATCCCTGCTGAATTAACCCTTATGTTTCCCTGCCTTGTGCAGGGAAAATAAATCAGTTGGAGAAATAACTGTAGTTTCAATTGGAACAACATATTTTATCCTCCAGAGTGAATCCACAATTTTCTTTTTCTATCATGTTTTATTACTGCCTTTTTACAACAAGGCAAACATCTTTTCACTCACATCAAATCTGTGTTTATGACGAGTTCAACCACTGGTATGTTAACAAAAAAAACTGCAATAGATACAAATTATTTCATTGTTGCTCTCTAATCACTGTTTAAGTGTGTTTTCCAGCTTTGAACTAAGTTGAATTTGTGGATGTCTTTCAACAGAAAACACGTTTTTTTTTTAATCTGATGGCACTGTTTCTGTTTCACACCTGTTCCTCTGATTGCGTCCTTGCACACCTGG